AAGACCAATGGATCAGAACAGAGAACCCAGAAATAAAACCAAGCATCCATAGACACCCGATTTTTAATAAAAAGCTAAAATACATTAAATGGAGAAGTGACAGTCTTTTCATTGAATAGTGATGGAAAAATTGGAGATCTAGCTGCAAAAGAAGGAAACAAGACCCTATATTTTACTACATACAAAAATGAATTCAAGATGGATTAAATACTTAAGTATAAACTCTAGGACACTAAAGTAGAGATGAATTTAAGGGTGCTAATGCAATGCATATATGTACAAGCACACATAATGAAAAACACTCACACTACAGAAAGGCTAAAGAAAAGACTGGAACCTACTAAAATCACAACATTTATGTACATCAAGAGACTTCATCAAAAGAGTAAAAAGAGAACTTACATATTAGGAAAATTTGGGGGGGCTAATCGCTAAAACCTATAGAAAGCTACAACACCTCAGTAAGGAAAGCACAAATAATTTAACTAAAAAAATGGGTAGTAAACATGAACAGACAATTCACCAAAGATAACATTCAAGAGGCCACAATCATATGAAGAGATGGTGGATCACTAGCTATAAGAGAAATGAAAATTAAAACATCAATGAGATACCACCTCACAGTGGCATTGATAACAAAATAAGAAACAACAACAACAACAAAAACATAAATGATCAAATACCAGAGAGGATGTGGAGAGACTGGAATCCTTGGACATAGCTGGAAGAATTGTACAATTGTGCAGTCTCTATGGAAAACAGTCCTTCCTTAAACAAATGTGAATAGAAATGGCATATGACCCAGTAACCTCTCTATTCTGTATATAAGGAAGAAATAAAGAATAAGACCCAAGTGGATAGAGGCACATACATGTTTATCACAGCTGTTTATTCACAATAGCAAGAAGATGGAAACAACCCGATGCCTGTCTGTGGAGGAATGGATAAATAAACTCTAGTACATACACCCAACGAAACGCTATGCATTCCTGACAAGCAGCTCACAACATGAAAGAATTGGAAGATATGCTCAGCAAAGTTAGTCATTATATGTATATATAACCAGAACAAGAAAAGTCATTTTCAAACCAAAAGGAACCTGATTTTGAAGGTTATATGGAGG